CGGCCAGCCTGCTAGGCCTGCGGACAGGCCTGCTGGAGAGACACCAATCCCCCGGAAGGGGTGCTCAGTGCGAGTGACTTGGGCACTGCCGGAGGGCAGTGTGGCGAAGAGAGCAACGCGACTAGAAGATTCCAGAGGGGAAACGCCATGTGAGCGGAGGCCTGTGCGGGCGGAATGGACTGATTCCGGGGACAGACGACGGACCCCCGCTACGGTGGTGAGTGACCCCCTCACAATCACACACACCCTGGAGCTGGAATCCCAGGCTCTGGAGATCTCTCAGGTCTCCTCTGACGGCAGGGAGATTGCTCTCAGTTTGTCATAGATACAGGGCAGGGAAGGTGGGCACAGAGGGGATGGGGTGCGATCGTCGCTCAGCCTGGACTGTGCACATGGAACCACGTGCAGCATGTCTGCACCATGCAACCTCGGGAGGGAGATCCAGAGCACCCCCAGGATCCTGCTCTGGGGCAGTCCCACATGTGTGCTGGAAGCAGGCTGGGCACAAGGGCACATGCAAGCACCCCACACAGACTGAGGAGCGCCGCACACAGCTCACAGGTATACCTGCCTGCACAAGGCCCCATCCACTCCAGCAGACAGTGCTGCCAGGCGCAGGTGTGTTCGTGCGCGCAGGCCCCATGGAAGATCAGGCTGCTCTAGGCCCCTCTCCCACCTATGGGATCCCACTGTGGCTGGACACTTTCCTTGCCTGCTTGTCTGTGGGATGGGGGGGAGGGCGGGAAGCAGGAAGCACGATTCCCTGGGCACCTCGGGGCCCCTGTGAGACAGGCTACACATGGCCTTGCTCCTAGGACCTCCCCATCTTCTGGCCCGAGGACTGTTGGTTACAGCTCACAGAGGAGGGCACAGCCTCAGGGACAGTGTCTGCAGGGATGACTGACCCCCTCTCCCTCTTTATTCTTCACATCTGGACCAGCCATCCCGGAGGGACGATCCACACCATCAGAGGCAGCTGCCTAACCCCAGGGGAGCCACAAGTGAAGGAGGGTCCAGGGGAACTCATGAGGCAGCACATGGGCGTCCTGCACAACATGCAGCAAACCCTGGCTCAAAAGGTCCTGGAGGATGCCAAATGGCAGAACTGCACGTGGGACCAACTTGTGTAGCAGGGCGACACGTGTCCTCATCTTGAAAATGATGGACACCCAGCTGTTGTCCCTGTACCTGCCCCCACCCTCCTGCCCTTCTTGCTATGCCCATTCCCCCTTCCTCTGCTGTCCCTGCTATGCCTATACCCCTTCCCCCTGCCCACCAAGTGATGCCTGACCCTGCTCCAGCCTCCCCCCATCATTGTCCCAGACCCCACCCAACCCCAAGTTCTATGGGGGAAAGACATATTGCACACAGTAGCAGGGCTGTGCTTGCTGTGTGTTGGACATTATGAAAAGCTCAAGCAATTATCAGGGCAAGTAAAGTAATTGTAAAAAGCCATCATTCCTCAAGAATGTTAATTAGGATTTGGTTTGTGGATGGCAGCTCATACTACACTGAAAGGAAGAGAGTCACTGGATTTGCAGTAATCTGTTTGACAAGAAATATACCAAAAAATTGACTCTTTTCAGTACAAATTATGCACAGGAAGAACACAGGTGGCTGAAGTGTCAGTGTTTTGAAAGGCTGTGAATAAACTGATATTATTGGAACTGGTTTTGAAAATGTTTGCAAAGGTGCTACCTTCTATCTTCCCTGGTGGAATACAATAGGTTTTAGAGAAACAGATGGATTGGTGGTTAAACACAAATAGCTGTGGCAGCAAACAGAAAGATTGGCAGCATGTTACTTAAAAAAAAAAAAGAAAAGAAAAAGTGAGAATGGTCCAAAACAAAAGCATACAAGGCCATCACCTAGCAACAAGAAGTTAAACAGGCAGACAAACTTGCTAATGCAGCAGCACTTACGGGTATAGTAACCTCCCTTGCACATGAACAAAACCAAAACAAATCAAAGAAACATAACCAAGGAACTTAACTGGGAAGGGGTGCTATGATTATACAACATACAGGCAATCCCTCCTCAATTCCTTCTTGCTGCCAGTGAGGGTGCTTGAAACAGCATTCTCCAGCCTTAGCTGTAGTTAACAAGTCCCTTGATCCTATTATGTTGTAGGTAGTTAATTACCTGTAAATAGTTCTGTGGACTTTTAGATTCTTCCAAGAGACTTTGCTGGGTGGACAGGGCATTCCTTATGAGAATCTGGAGTTGTCCAAATCACAATGACGGCACTTAACCTTATAAAATGTGCTAAGAATTCACCATCTAAAAATCACGGTCTTATTACATGCTTTGTGCCAGCCTCAAAGGGATCTGTGAGCTTGATTCTCAACTTAAGCCTTCAGCACTTTGCCATGAATGATATCCCAATTAATTTCCCTCAAGTATTGTGGCAATATCATCTTTGGAGAACTCCAACATTTACTAGTCACGCTGTGATTTTTCTGATGTTAAATGTGTCCATGATAGGGGCCCTGCCAGGTGCCTAAAATGGATTATAAATGGTTAGAGCCTATTTTAAGTCTAAGAAATTAAATACAAGACTGTTAATATTAATAAACTGAATTTTTACCTCTCCATTTGTACTTCTATTGGGGTTATCCAGCTTTGGAAAAAAATTAGATTAAATGTACTAGCACATTTAATTCTAAATGTCTATAAAATAATTAGCATACACCCTTCTAGCTTTAAAGTTCCATATGTCCAACAATAATAGAATGACATTTTAAAGGAGGAACTTATTGGAACTTAAGTGGAATACCTGTTTACTGAAAAATGAAATTTTTAGTGCTGATGACCGTGGGAAGATTGCTTGCAGGTGCTTATTATTTGTAAAGCTTTGATACCGAATCAGAATAAAGTACATACTAAAGAAATCCTTCCTTGTTGAACTTGCTTAGAAAAATTTCTAGTAGTCTGATATTTCTATCAAGGATTGGAATAGCAATGGCCATGCTCAGAACACAGGAGAGAAATACAAATCTTATCTTATTCTGGTGGTGGCAACCTATAAAAATGGAGATTGGAAACAAGTATCAATCCTTTAGAAGGTTTGGATAAACGGGGAAGAGGGTGCTATCCTTTAGGCAAGGCAACAGAGTATGGAGTCAGGCAATGAGAGTTTTTGCTTAAGTCTTGCTGTGTGAGCTTGGGCAAGTCATTTATTCCGTCTTTTGGTTCTCCATCTGTAAAGTGTGGATAACATATGATACACAAATGCTTTGCAATTTAAAAATGCACAGAGTTATATACAGGTTAAACATTATTTTAAATAATTACTTACAGTGTTAAATTCCTTAATGTAACTTAAAATAGGCTCAAATAATTTATAATGCTGAGCCTGAATTTATTGAGATTGATAATTTACTCCATAATGAGGTAGGAATCACCCAAGGTTTACAAGCACCTCTGTTTCAACTGCCTCTTCTAAATTCATAGAGAAAAAAACATGTGCTGTTCTAATTACAGTATATCAGATCATTATCTGATTGACAGGTTACCTTATTAAAAAAAGGTTGATGCTTAGCTTCCTCTACAAACTCTACAACAGCCCAAGATAAAACCTAATCTGGAGTCCAATAGGAGACAAAATCAAGACCAGTGGTCCCCAATGCAGTGCCCCATGGGTGCCATGGCACCCGCCAGGCCATTTATGTGTGCCCGCGGAAAAGTCTGGGCTGGCCCCGCCCCCGGGCGTGTGGCACATGCCGGTGTCGGCCCTGGGCGGCCCCAGCCGGTGCCGGCCCTGGGAGCATGGGTGGCCCCTGCCTGGGGGTCATGGGACATGCCGGTGCCCGTACTGGGCGTGCAGCACATGTGTGGCCTCTGCCCCCAGGCCCGTGAGTGGCCCCGCCCCTGGACACACGGCACGTGAGTGGCCCTGCCCTCGGGCGCCCGGCAGCCCCTGAAGGTTGGTGACCACTGATCAAGACCATTATGGTTATACACCACTATGACATTATTTCAATTACTTTTTGAGTTGGGTTACTTTCCTACTCAAGTAGTCGATACAAAAAAAATCTATCAACTACTCAGTAAAACAATAAGGATCACCATTACAGCACTCAGTCTGGCTTGCACTGGATCCCAGCATAACTTTCCCCGCTGCCCAAGACACTGGCTGCCCAGTCCCTTGTAATGCAGAGTGGCAGTCTGTGTGGGGAAGCGGCGCAGAGCGGCTCCAATTGTCCGGCTGGCCGGAGCACTTCTGGGTTCCAGTTGGTGCCAGACTATCGGGAGTGCCAGACCACTGGATGCCGGACAACTGGAGTTTTATTGTATATTGGACAAATAGGACAGTCTCTGTGGGAAAGAACCAATGGACACAAATCAGATATGCGTAAAGGAAACATACAGAAACCTATTGGGGAACATACAGAAACCTTAATCTTCCTAATCACTGTTTAAAAGATCTTCAAGTGGCTGTTTTGTCACAAACCAGTTCTACTAGCCAGATACAGAGAAACATTGGAATTAGAGTTCATCCACAAATTCAATTCACATGCTAATGGACTCAATGGTGATGAAGGATAGTTGGGGCACTATCAACTTAATAGACACTGAAGGTACAAACAGCTCTTTGTGTAGACTCCTATGTCAGGAATGATTATCAATTGACTTTGGGTAGTTAAAACAAAGCAGATAAGAATCAGTCTTCAGATACTTACTGATTCCTTTTAGCGCCATCTCTCCCACCCACCCCTTTTTTCCCTCCCCCTCCTTCTCTCCTATTTATTTTGGGTCTGCACATGCTAAACTCAAAACTCGTGAGCTGTGCCCACGAAAGCTCATGATACCATCTACATGTTTTGTTAGTCTATAAAGTGCTACCAGACCATTTTTTTTTGCAGTCATAAGGTATTTCAGCTATTTAACTGGAGCATGCACACACAACTGTACCTCTACATACCTTTTGCTTTTTGTATCTGATATATTTACCATTATGTACCACATTTAGTACAGCTTTTGAACCAAAAGACAATTAATAATATGTAAGAATAGTTTATTCTTAGTACTGAAAACTAACAAAACTGAATACACAAAAGATGGCCTTTTTCTAAATAAAGTTTCAGTTTATATTTGGATTCCATAAGCTTTATGGAACAGGGTCTTCATTCCAGTGTGCTCCCCATTTCTCGGCTACAAGCTTGATAAAGTCACCATGATTTGCATATAGTTTGAGTTTCTCATTGATATCAACCCATTTCACCTTCCCAGCATCGTCTCCTGCTTCCAGAAGCAAGTTATCCATCATCTCACCTGATTGAGAAACAAAAAAAATTAACAAAAGATTTTTATTTTCTGTCTTCCCTCTCACTATCCTGCATGTTCCATTACTCTCTGCTGCAGTAAGGATGTAAAATCCCATTTAATTAGTTAACTGGTTAAAAGTTATATGTAATCAGTTAACCGTTTAAATAGCTTCCTGCCCGAAGATGAGAGCTCTAGTGAGAAGAAAGGACCCCCTCCCAGCTCACTTCACACAGCAGCACCTGGGCTGGAAAGTAGGGGAAAGAAGGCACTTCTTCCACTGTGGCAGCTCAAGGGCTGGGATGGCAGGATAGGTGTCCCTCCCCTCACCCTGGCTGGTTTGAGCCAGAGCTGAGTTGGAGCTGAAGAGGACTTCCGCAGAGTGGTCAGATTTGGGCTGGCACAGGCTTCAAGTGGTCCCTCACCAGCCATGGAAGGTTGGAGGACAGGGTAGGTTGGGGATGGAGTGGCCATCCCCTGGTTGCAGCAGATCCCCCAACAGGTTCCTGGAGCCCCTGCATTGTGCTAAATAGATGCTTTATAGGTCTTCACTAAAAACAATGCATATAAACAAGCACCGAGTCCTTTACACTGGAACAGCTCTGAAAAATTATATCCATCCTCCCACCTTTCATGATGGGACAGAAAAATAAACCAAATGTAAAAAGCTTCTGTAGTAAGATCAAGACTTAGTTAAATGTTTGGTCTCTATGCAATAAGTTATACTAAAAACACTTAAAAATTAAGCTCAGATTTCACAACTTTTCCAATATGTTTCAATTGAAGTAGACATACTTCCAAAGCACCTATCTTTCTTAATATAATTTAGCTGGGCCCAGTTGATTGCCTTGGGCCCCATGCTGCCCAGTGCCCATTGTCCTGGCTGGGAGCTGCCCACACACACAGTGCAGCCAAACAGAGTGCTATCTTAGGCTCCTGCAAACTCTTTGGCAGGGCCTGAATTTAGCCAACTAACCTTTGTGAATATTTATTGAGAAAAGCTGATCTAGAGAAGAAAGATTACTGTGTGCCATGGCTGAACCCCTCCATGGAAAAAGAGCATCCAGTGACTTTTGTTCCATAGATTTACACCTAATTTTCACATTAGACAATAGTTTAGTAAGTATCAAGAGGGGTAGCTCTGTTAGTCTGAATCTGCATAAACAACGAGAAGTCCTGTGGCACATTATAGACTAACAGATTTATTGGAGCATCTGATGATGCGGGTATATGCCCACGAAAGTTTATGCTCCAATAAATCTGTTAGTCCATATGGTGCCACAGGACTTCTCTTAGTTTAATAAGGTGCATCTCAGCACCTATCACCTTCCACTTAGTTTGAGATAGCATGTTTAAGGGAGCAACTGCTAAAAAGTAAAAATGTGGATACGCACCAGGTTCATCATGGTAGTTCACAGCTTCTGTCTCTATCCAGGCATTATCTGTATTACGAGGATCATCCACATATCCCTTATACACCTAAGAAGACGACAGCGTAAGCTGAGGGCCATAATATTAAATTAAATGAGGGAGAATCTTAAAAGGCCTAATCATTGGTTAAGGAATGGCTGTAAAAAGTACCAGTTTGCAATGTATTGGAGGAGTACATGATCTGCTACCTAAAATGAATAAGGACATTCAAAAGCTTTTCTTGTTAAATTTGCAAACAAACACTTGTGATTTTTTTCCCATGCTGCCTCAGACATGGAAGGAGGGTTTGTTTTTTTATAACATTCACAAAGCCACTTCATTGTTTTACTCCAAAACTCTTCTTAAAATACTCCTCTCTCACAATGCTGACAAAATCTTGACAACAATTTACTGGTGTACTGAGATTATGACCTATCATGAAGACCAATATTTTCTCATTGTTCCCCATCTGCATCCAGTGGTCTCATACTTTGATTGCAAGCACCGTGGAGTAGGGGATGTCTTTTTGTTCTGCATTTGCACAACAAATGAAGTTTTCCTGAAAGTTCTAAACCATTTTTCATTGAAATTAAAAAGTTCATCGAAAATTTGCAAAGTAGAGGAAAAATAAGGTTTAAAAATTATTATTAACATTTTAACAGCTTGTTAACATTGTCAATTCTTTTTTAATATCTGATTGGACTGCTGTCCTTTCAACTAAATGGTTTCTTTTTTGGTCCCTCTCCATTATTAAAGTTTTATAATGTCTCCTGAGGAAAATAATCCATGATCCTGGACTTTCTTCCACATCTAAAATGATATTTGTCTATTGAGACACTAGTAGCTACTGAGGCATTATTGTCCAAAGCTCTCTTTTCTATCAATTCCCTATCTTCATTCCACAGCCCAGAGGTGCTGAGCAATGCAAAGCAGACTTTACTGCAAACCTGAGCAGGAATAGTGACAAAGTCCCTTACACAATTTATTTATTTGGTCCCATTAAGGGACCAAAACAGAAAGTGGTATAAGTGCACTGTAATCACCCACATTAGACAAGGATTTTAAGAAGTTGTAACTAGAAGATTTGCATATCTCTGACCTCCAGTAATTCTACTTGGCCATCAAAACAATATATAAATCTCTCTGAGAAAGTGATACATAAACCTGGGATGTAACTGATCTTTTCCAGACTATTCATTTTCCAGAGTGTAGATCCCAGATAAGCAGGACTCTATCAAGCGCTCTCTTTCATGTTACAATTCTACACCCAAATATGCAACGGATTGATATGAAAACAAAGTTCCTTGTCAGAAAACCACACATACTAAAGTTCAGAATATTCTCAATTTCAAAGATATTTCCAAGAGTCAAAGGACAGAAGTAGAAGCCACTCCCACAGTAGAGTACAGTGGTGCCATGAATGAAACCATTCTGCTACTGTTTTAATTCAGTCTCCTATACATTCTATTGACATTTTTTAATAGCATAAAAGATCATCATAGAAGGAAAAAGGTTTACCACAAAATGTTCCTGGTTGAAGAGTCTGTTCATTTGCTTCTCCACCTTTTCCTTCTCTACTCTGGATTTCTGTAAGGAGTTTAAGGCCTCCTCACTAAATTCTCGTTTCAGTGTGGCATTAATAATCTCTCCCGGATCTACCATACCCTAAACAAAAACAAAAACATCTAATGTTGATATCCCTCTGCCTATTTTCATTATTCCATCTACTCTTTATTTTGTATGTTCTTTTTGTCTGTGTTAGACTATAAATCCTTCAATTAGCTATAATACATTTGTAAAGAGTTATGGACACCAACAGTAATCTACAATAATAAAAAGTGTGACATTATAAATAAAAAGCCCAAAAGAGTAGTTCTAGTTAGATGCAAATACCATCTTGTACCAGGACAATAAAAAGAAAACAACAGTTTAGAGTCTTTTTGATAAAACATTTTAATTTTCCTTGATGCTTTCTAAAGTGCCCTCAGATACCTCACAAAAGAAAGTCATTCAGAGGAAATGCACATTTGCTGTTTAATACTAATTAAATTTTCATAGCCATAATAGATATTAATTGTAATATCTGCTCAGTGCTTTAGTTCTTACCCCTGGAATGGCCCATTCCCCACAGTCTTTCCTCTTGATTGCTACAAACTGTAAAATGTTCTTGCCAGAGATAGGGTGAATTATTTTATTGCCCCTGCTATCTCTCTTCCACCTGCAGGGAATCATAAATAAGCAAGGAAATTATTTTCCATTCTTTGGAATTAATCAGGGTCATCAAATGAATTAGTCTGTTTCTGCCCTGCATTATTTGCTCTTGAGATTGAAAGATGTGGTACGGTGAATGAAGCAGAGGACTGTAAAATGGAATAGACCATTTTGTGATAAGGAAGATGAAATCTGCCCTTGATGATTGGTTTCAATCCCTGCCTCTGCCAGCATTCCTAGGTGATGCTGGGCAAGTCACTTAAAACTTTTTACACAAATTGTGCATTCCTCCTTTCCTACATGCCCACTTTTAGATATCTGAGATGACTTCGTTTGTAAGAATGCTGAATACTCACAGTTAACAGAAATGTTGGTTGCTCAGATACTCTGGCATTAAGGAAGTATGGTCTGGCACAGGCTTGGCAGCTAGCTACTGCGGAGTTCTAATCCTGGCGCTTCCACTGATTCACTGTGTGTGTTATGACAAATCTCTATGCCTTTGCTTTATTTTTCTCATCTGTGAAATAGGAATAATAATGCCCTCTTCTCACCTCTATGGGGAGTTTATAATATTTCTTAAGTATTCTTGTATTAGGGTTATACCATGGTGATGAACAGCATAAAAAGCCCATGATGAAAGTAATAATTATGTACAGTCGGTCCCCGAGTTGCAAACAGTCGATTTATGATCATTAGCATTTACAACCAAACCTACCATCAAGTGGTCGTAATAGGTGGTCCCCGAGTTATGAATGCGACCCGCGCTTACAAACAGCGCGGTCGCAATGTAACTCAATGAGGTCCAACTTACGAACATTTTGAGTTACGGCCAAGTATTTGGTCCGTAACTCGTTCATAACTTGGGGTCCAGCTGTACTTAGAATAGGATTTGGATGGTATGCAATAAATAAACCATGGCGATACACCGAATGATGATCATAAAAATAAAACTTGATCTGCTGCCTCATTTCTTGAGCATTACCCATCCTGTAAACTGGATTAAGCAATGGTGTGATGGAAATTAAATAGTACATGATCACATAATTAAAAACTGTATAGGTCCAAGGGAGCCAAATTAAGCTTAAGCCTCTTACCTGAGGCACCCCCCTCTGGCATCAGCTCCTAGGAAGGTGGGCTAAGGGGGTCTTTGCACACTGCTGCCTGCAGACACTGCCTCTGCAGCTCCCAGTGGCTGCAGAGGTCATGTACACACACACTGTAGGGATGGTGCTGGCAGCCATTGGCAGAGCCAGAAAAGACAGGATGCCATTCTAGCCCTGATGCACTGCAGTGGTGGTGACAGGGGTCTTCTAGGCCCTTTCAAATTACTTGGGGGCAGCAAGCAGGAAGGACCAGGAAATACATCAGGGGAGGTGTGTGGGTACAGCAGGCAGGGTTGAGGGGGAGACCCAGCCCTGAACTTTGCTGGAGCAGGGCCCCTTGGTCAGGAATATTCCTGGAGCCTACACACTATGGGCCCATAAAACTCATTACCCTTGCTCTTAATGTATGATCAAGTCTCCACAATCAGTTTCCAAGTATATATAGCCTTTTTATATCATTTTGACCTGCCAGGGCCCTGGCCAGCAAACAGACTAGGGAAATCCTGCCTTCCAATGCTCTGGACTATGCTACATGGGAAGGTAGAAGTATGATATGCAACTCCAGCTACATAATTTATATTTTGCTCCTGGTGACCTTCCCAGCGGAAGGTCAATAGGAGCAAACGGGCTTTTCAGCTTCCTTTACTCCTTGTGAGGAACAGGAGTACTGGCACCAATGGAGGTGCCATTTGAGTTCACTCTAGCAGGTCTATACTACACATGATAAATTGAACCTCAGAAGATTGACCATGGCAGCGTCAATCTTCCATCTTCTTTTCCCGGTCTCCACCCTCTTCTTTTTCCTCACTTTCTCCCAATCTTATAGCTCCTGCTGGAGGCTGCCAGGTATAGTCAGTTACCAGGCAAGCATCAGGCTATTTACCCAGTCCCAATCCATTTCCCCTGATTGGGGCTGGAGCTAACTAAGGTTTCTCTAACAGATCCTGCCATACTAGTTGTGAATTTCAAACCTACAAACTTTAAAAAAGGATATCCAATAATTTTACATGGGGCACTGGAAAGCCCATTGGCATACTATGATGATAATAGGCATTCTGCAATACCGCTGTGCTTTCAGATACTTTTCCATAGGTCATCTTCTTAATACTTTCTTACAGTGGTTTGCTACTTGCATTATTCCTCTTTTTATTTATTTATTTATTTATTTTTTTAAAGCCAGCATTCTCAGTTTAAGTGATGGTCTAGCCTGACTGATGACTTCCCATTCCTCCTCTCCAAAGATGAAAATAAAACATCTGTCTAATAGTTCATTAAACCAACTGACATAAGTAACAATCACTATGCAGGTACCTGACATGCACACGAGTACAACTTTTACATTCTGCTGCTATATCATCCTCTGATCCTGTATCCCTTACCTAGTTAGAATAGGATCTGCAGCATGGTTTGGTCCCCAGCGCCCCAATAATCCTCGACCCACTAGTCCAGTCCTGCCTCCAGGATTTCTGAGAGAAGTAGGTACATATGAAGTCAGTGTGTACAAATTCTGGGACATCAGTTTCATGCAAATAATAAGGAATTACAGAACAAGGAAAGAAAAGGGTAACATTTTGTAATATTCTTAGTGTCAAATATACCTCAGCCTCTCTGTTTCTCCCACAAAAGTTTCTTAGTGTCAAATATACCTCAGCCTCTCTGTTTCTCCCACAAAGTATGGATAGAAAAAATTATTAAACATTTTATTGGAGATAAAGTTCCATTGCATTTCCTGAATTTGACAAAACAACACAAACAGAAAAGCACAATACGTTGTTTTGTAAACTCCTATAATACTGGATCTATCTATATTTTAGAGTGAGTCTGTCATTTGTTCAAAAACGCCTCCTAAACTGTAAGAGCTAGGACCATCACATTTGGTATGCAGCTTTCTCTTACCCTTATTTAAACTAATGTCAGGATTTGGTTGTGCCGGAAAAATGGGAAGTGCTGGGAATAGTACTATTTCCCATAACATGGGAAGGGAGAGGGCAGAGAGAGGAGGAATGTGAAAGGGAGCGGCACAAGAGATGGGAGGAATGCAATGAGACTGACCACTGGGGGCAGCTGCAGCACCAAGAGAGAGGCCAGTAGAGATGGGGCTCTGCCAGCTTGTCTGCTAGCACATGGATAAGGAGCTCCCCTGCCCCAAACCTTGAGCCTCCCCTCCCCATACAGAGCCTGCAGGCTGTGTGTGGGAGGGGGACAGCTGGACAGGGGGAAGTTTTCCCTCGCCAGACAGCCTGCAGGATTGTGGGTGGAGGGGGCTGCTGGAGGCTGGGGGCAGACCCTGGAGCCTCATCCCCAGAAAACCTGCAGGCCATCAGGGGCTCTGGAGTGGATGGCAGCTTCCAGTGCCTGGTACCCACCAGACAGCCTGTAGACCACAGAGGAGGGCAATGGGGAGAGGCACATTGGCAGTGGAGTGCTCACAGCCCCAGGAGAAGTCGCCGCTAGAGCAGCTCCACCCTTGCTGCCATGGATTGTGCCAAGAAGCCCCCTGTAGTGAGTCCTCCACCTCCCTTGACTTCAGCACTTTCCCCCACACCAAACCCCCCACACCTCCCAACCCTGTGCCTGAAGCCCACATACCCCCTTCCCCTCCTCACCCCGAACTCTCACTCTAACCTTCATTTCTGAAAAATACAATCATTGAAATAACACATGTATATTTTTCATTTATTTTTCCTTCCATTATAGATCCGAACAACGCTTGGTACATCTGCTAGTATATATTTATTTAGGAGTTTGTGTGTCTGTCCATTTATTCAAGAACTCCTTCTAAACGGTAAGAGCACCAAATTTGGCATGCAGCTTCCTCTTACCCTAATTTCAACCAAGATCAGGGTTTGGTGGTGCCCAGAAAATAGGAAGTGGTGGGAATGGGTCTATTTCCCATAACATGGAAAGGGAGGGGACTGAGAGCAGGGACAACTATGCTCCGCAATGATCACTGGGGGCAGCAAGCGCAGAGGACAGTTGCCAGCTGGGGCCAGAGCTCTTCATATTGCTGGTCACCGGCCATGGGTAAGTGGCCCCTCCTCCCCAACACCCCTCTACCTGGCCCTCAACCACAGTGGCCCCACTGGGAGCTCCACTAGGGCTGATCAGCACAGCCCCACATGACCAGGGCTTACCAGGAATTACCAGGGTTGGTGGCAAAACCCTCAAAGGGCCTTCTGGGACAGATCTACACTGACACCTCCTCTGCCCCCCGAGGGCTGGTCTAAGCAGCTTTCCCCGGGAGCTGGGCAGTGGAGAAGTTGCAGTGCTGAGCTCACCATCACTGTGGACAGAACCGGTGAGCTCCCACAGACTGCCCAGCCCCCTATCCTGAATCCTGCAACCCCTGTGCATTACATCCCCCAAACCTCCAAGCCTCCACCCCCAAGTCCTTCATCCCCTCCCCACCTGGTAGTGGGCAGCACCATCCCCTGCCCTGAGCCCCCTTCTACACCCAACTCCCTGCCCTGACTCTTGCACTCCCCGTACTAGATCCCTGCCCTGAAGGACTTGAGCAACGCAGGCTAAGTCCTCTAGCTTTAAAATATAGCAAGGAATCCTGGAACTCTAGGGGGACATAATTTTACCTTGGGGTCTAAATAACCAGACATGGGAAAAATTAAATGGTATCAGAGAATTAAAGCAGTCTCACCTCCAATCACAGGACTACAACTCTTCCAAGGGTTCTAAATCATTCCTACCCCATGGTAAAGCATGAGGAGGATAGAGAATGTAGCAGTATCATCCAGGAGCAGTTTAGGGAGACAATTATGATGGGTTTGCAGAACTAGTTCTACATGCCTGCATACAGGCATAAAGAGGCTCAACAGCCCATTCCCAACCCCATTTTGCAACAGCAGCTCTTCACAGTCTTTGCTAGCTTACACATGGGCTGGCTATGTGGGTAGTCCAACAGAAGAGTAAAGAAATGCTATTTACCAGCAGGTTGGTGAAGGTCACAATCTGGCCCTTAGCTTGCTAGTTAACTTTCCAATCTCATCTCTGATGCATAAAACACAAGCATGGAGACCTATTCTTTATAGCAGAGGTGGGCAATAATTTTTGACTGGAGATCACTCTACGATTTTGGAAAGTGGTTGAGGCTGCATTCTTCCAAGACTTTGACTCCCTCAGAGAACGGATGGGCAGGATTCACTGGGATGCTAACATGAAGGAGAAAGGAGTCCAGGAGTGCTGGCAGTATTTTAAAGAAGCCTTATTAAAAGCACAGGAAGAAACCATCCCGATGCACAGTAAGAAAAGCAAATATAGTAGACTACCAGATTGGCTTACTGGGGAAATACTTGGTGAGCTTAATCATAAAGAAGCTTACAAGAAGTGGAAACTTGGACAGATGACTAGGGAGGACTATAAATATATTGCTTGAGACTGTAGGGGAGTTATCAAGAAAGCGAAAGTGCAATTGGAAGTGCGGCTAGCAAGGGATGTGAAGGGTAACAAGAAAGGTTTCTACAGGCATGTTAGCAATAGAAGGGTGATCAGAGAGGGTGTGTGGCCCTTAATGGATGAGGGAGGTAACCTACTGACAGATGATGTGGGAAAACCTGAAGTTCTCAATGCTTACTTTGCTTCTGACTTCACAGACTAGGTCAGCTCCCAGACTACTGCACTAGGTAATGCAGTATGGGAAGGAAATGGACAGCTCTTGGTGGAGAAAGAACAGGTTAAGAACTATTTAGAAAAGCTAGTCATACACAAATTCATGGGTCCGGATTTAATGCATCCATGGATACCGAGGGAGTTGGCAATGTCATTGCAGAGCCTTTGGACATTATCTTTGAAAGAGATTCCAGATGATTGGAAAAAAGTAAATGTAGTGCTCATCTTTAAAAAAAGGAAGGCGGACAATCCAGGGAACTACAGACCAGTCAGTCTTACCCCAGTCCCTGGAAAAATCATGCAGAGGATCCTCAAGGAATCCATTTTGAAGCACTTGGAAGAGGGGAAAGTGATCAGGAACAGTCAACATGGATTCATCAAGGGCAAGTCATGTCTGACCAATCTGATAAGCTTCTATGATGAGGTAACTGGCTCTGTGGACATGGGAAAGTCAGTGGATGATATATCTTGACTTTAGCAAAGTTTTGATACAGTCTCCCACAATATTCTTGCCAGCAAGTTAAGGAAGTATCAGTTGGATAAATGGACTGTAAGATGGATAGAAAGCTGGCTAGACTGTTCGGCCCAACACGTGATTAATGGCTCGATGACAGGTTGGTGGTCGGTTTCTAGCGGAGTGCCCCATGGATCGATTCTAGGGCTGGTTTTGTTCAATATCTTTATTAATGACCTGAATGAGGGGATGGATTGCACCCTCAGCAAGTTTGCAGATGACACTAAGCTAGGGGGCAAGGTAGATACGCTGGAGGGCAGGGATAGGGTCCACAGTGACCTAGACAGATCAGAGGATTGGGGTGGAGGAGGGAGACTGGAGTCTGGGAGGGAGTTTGGGTAAAGGAGGTGGTTGTCACTTAGGGAAGGGGACTGAAGTGCAGGGGTTTGGGATCCGGTGGTGCAGGAGACTGGGCTGCCAGATCTGGGAGGCAGTAAAGGTATAAAGGAGGGGGACAGAGGGTTTGGGTATATCGAGGGAAGGGCAGAGGGTTGGGGCAGGAAAGGGCTGAGGAGCCAGAAGCAAGCTATGGTCAAAAGACTTACTTGCCAGCTGCCAAACTAGCTTGCCTACCTGCAGAGCGTAAAACGTTTCCCAGTCAGCCAGCCAACTTGCCTAGCCATGTGCTTCATTGAATAACTGAACGGCTCCTGAAACTTCCTCCCTCCTCTCCAGTTTGAAAACAGAAACAGAGCCTGGAAGCTGCATTTCTGAGTGGTGTGCGGGGCTGCAGGGCAAGCAGGAGAGCCTGCCTGGGGCTCCCTGCTGCCTCCGTGGGCTGGATCCGGTGGCTTGGCAGGCTGGATCTCGCCGTCGGCCGTATTTTGCTCAGGACTGCTCTATATGTTAGTGTTTATAAACAGTTTAACTATAGTGTGCTAGATTCACCTCTGCTAGAGAGAGGCACAAACTATGTTAATGAGAACTGCTGCATCCTGAGAGAGACTTACACCTCAAGGGGGGAGGTGGTGTTTCTGTAAGAAGTTCTGCTAGGAGAAACTAAAGCAAGGAAGCACTGATGCAACATATCCTACAGCACATTCTCCCACATACAGTAAAACTCCGGTGGTCCGGCATCCAGTGGTCTGGTACGCCTGATGGTCCGGCACCAACTGCAACCCGGAAGTGCTCCGGCAGCTGCTTCAAGTTGTTAGTGTAATTGATTAACTGCAGCTGGATCCACAGCCGACACGCAGTTAATCTACCTTTCCTCTCTACTGCCGGGAGGGGGGGGCGGTGGGAACAGGTAGATCCGCAGGTGACAGGCTGCTGCTGAAACTCACAAGAGATCATCTCCCCTCCCTGTCCCTGCTGCTTTTACCAGTAGACTAATAGTCCAGGATCAAAAGATCAAGTGAGTGAGCTTGCGCAAAAAAACAGAGGCAGCAGTTGAACCCAGTGAATGCGGCTGCATTGAGTCAGTCTGCCATTAGCATTGTGACCCACTGGAGAGTGCTGTTTTGACTTTTGAATATTTTTGCCCATCAGAGTGTACATAGTGATGGAGTCAAAAGTGAATGAAGGTGCTAGTAGTAGTGGTAAGAAAACTTTAAAAAGGAAGCATATAACCCTGACACTGAACCAGAAATTAGAAATTATAAACATGCTAGAAAGAGGCATAAATCGGAACGTTATCATGAGTAAATTTAAAGTTGGATCTTCGACAATCTATGACAAAGAAACAGAAGGATAAATTGCAAGTATTTGTTGCTGAAAGTGCAGCACCTACTAAACATACTGGGCTACGGCAAACTCTGAAAATGGCTAAGATGGCACAGTTGGTTGTAGCTTGCTGCCTGCCTGTCGCCGCCTCTCCTCTTCCACCGCTTGCAGGCTCTGCCTCCCTGTAGCAGGAGGGAGGGTTTGGCACACCCCCGCCGCCTCCCCCGTTTCCCCTCCGACGAGACCCGCCCCTGCCAGAGTACCTCCTGATAGTCCGGCATTTCTGATAATCCGGCACCACCTGGGTCCCAAGGGTGCCGGATTATCGGAAGCCTACTGTATATGAATCTGCATCCAATACATTCTCCAATCTTGGGAGTTGTGTTAACTTCAAGCCACCTCATTTCTCCTCTACAGACCACTTTTAAGCCAACTTTTTGGTGCTGGGACTTTGCACCAATGAAGTTAGCACACTGTGCTATTTTTGTCTAGTATGTAACACGCCAAATCAGATTCAAACTTGGCTTGACAAAGCCCTGGCTGGGTTGATTTCGTTGGGATTGGTCCTGCCTTGGGCAGGGGACTGGACTAGATGACCTTCTGAGGTCTCTTCCAGTTCTATGATTGGGATGTCAATGAGCAGTTAACTAGATGATTAACCAATAAGCCTAGACTTATCGGTTAACTACTCGCATACCTCCTTCCCCCTTTGCTGCCTCTGTATCAGCACTGGTTCCATGGTACCCCTGCCCTCCCTTCTCCGACACTGCTGTCTTATCTGATTGAAGCAGCAGTGGGGGAGGGGCAGGGGAGGCTGCTGTGAAGCATCTTTTGTCCTCAGGGGCGGTCTGAGCTCCCCACAGACAGCAGCTGTGTCAGAGGCTGTGTCTATATCAGAGGCAGCAGTGCAAGGTGGCAGGCAGCTGATCTGCATGGGGAGCTGGGTTTTAAACTGGCTCCCTTCACAAACTGGCTCCCTCCTGGCACCCAGCATGGCTGCCTCTGATACACAGGCAGCAGCATGGGATAGCAGGGGATTCTCTGGGAGTGGAACAGGATTGCACTGGCTGCTGGCCCTGCCATTGGGAATACAGAATAGTTGAGTAACTGATAGAATAGTCAAGTAACCATATGAATTCTTATTATTTGATATCTAACATCCCTAATTCAAACAGTCATTAAAACACACCTTCTTAAATGACATTGGTCATAGAAGCTTAAGAAGTAAAAGCACCTACCTGGGCCTTCCATTTTCAACCTCATACAAGCCAAGCAGACTCCTCCTCTCCACTTGTCCATCCTTCTCGTTGAATTTGGGAGAAAAGTTTTTGGCACTATTTCAAAGAAATAGTTACAGTAAGTTACTAAATAAACAACTGGTGTTAATTATAAAGACTGTAATGCTATCCAAAGGATCTGCAACACCAAATGTCCCAAGAATGACACTTCTTTCACCAAAATGTAAAAAACAGATTTGCAGCCCTGTTTTTCTAAGCTTTTCCCCTGCCTTATTAAAATGTCAGTATTTGCAAATTGTAGAACCTCTCAATGCTTCTAAGAGGTGATATGTGGATTTGACATACTAAATTCTTAAAATAGCCACCTTTAGGGTAGCACTTTCCATGAGTAATAACAGACAAGCTTTGAAATGTGATAGATACAATCCACGAGGAGACCTTTGATTGACTATGAGTTATAAGTTTGCCTCCTGTTGCAAGTATTGCATTGTGAGCACATCACAAACAAATGGAAATATATAAATTATGAAACACTTCTTTACTTCCATATAGCTTGCAGCAGCAGTGTTCTAGCCCTAATATCAATAATGTTTGAAAGGACAGTGTAGCAAGATTGAGATTTCACTCATCTTTATCCCGTCCACACTTGCACCCACATTTGAGAGAAAGATGCAAATGAAGACATTCGAAATTGCATATGCAGCTGGGATTGAAATATCCTATGCTTCATTTGCATAATGGCGCTATTTCAAAATAACAGATGTTGTTAAGATGCAGTTATTTCAAGAGAAAACCCTTCTCTCAAAAGAACTGGTAAACCTCATTGTATTTAAATCCTGGCTTCATTTGCAATTTTGAATGTCTTCATTTGCATCCCTCTCTCAAAAGAGGGTGCAACTGTAGACATACCCGAAGAGAAGTTCCTCGCTCATGTTACTAACCCCCTTGACCATCATAGAAACGTCCATGTGTTACAGAACTAGATTCATTTGAATATCTAGTTGTGCCAGGTACACCCATTCATTCTAGGAAAAAAAATTACTACCAATTCCATAGTCCCAGGTGCAGTGTAGTAGATGTGTGGATGGTTCATAAAGCCTCTACAAATTATACTGTACACTAGCCAATGTTAGTAAGTCTTTCACAGGTATCAGGTGCATGTGTAATTTTAGAAAAGATATTTAAAGCAAACATAGATCAAACTTCTGTCAGCTATATTCAAAACAAACTCCATCCTTTCTCTACACTGGTCAACAGAACCACATTAATTGAACCCCTAATTTCTTTTGGCCAGACAATGCTCACCTGATCTGTGGATCTGCCCATGTGGGTCCAGCCAAGACAGAGGATGCAGTGTATTCCACAGGCTTGTAATCCTCCCACTCAACTAGCCAGTCCACTTTATCAGTAGGTACTTTGCTGCGCTCAACATTTGACCCTGGATATGGGGAGGTGCGAGCTTTGTTGTGAACATTCTCATTTGGATGGTAACCGCTAAGCATGCTGACAGGATAAAAATGGAAACAATGTACTGGTATTGACCTATTGAAAGGGGGAAAAAAATATTAATGAAGATATTTAATGCCAAGTTTTAGGACTCCGGATTGCAAAGAGAAGACAAAAGACATGGTGTTTAATATTTTTAAAGTAGTAATATATTAAGCCTAAAAATATACACCCACTCCAAGCTGCCCAGTGATTTATTTGTATTTGATTACATCGGAGAACATTTTTCCATGCTATCTATATTGAATACCTTTTCAGTCCTAGCAAAACAAAGCAGTTTTGTAAAAGCAAAGTGCCTCAAAAAAACTAGATGGTCTGAGTAAAATTGCAAAATATATGCTCTAAAATACTTTGGAAATTGGTGACATTCCAAATTACAGAATCATTCAGCTCATCAGAATTACATTACATTGTTACATAAGTATTATGTATTACACGCATCAGGAACTATTACATTATCTAACTATCTACAGGATGTTAAACAGCATTAAATCAGCTAATTGATTAGTCAATAAGAGGAGGAAAACTGAGTTAGCTCCCAGCCCTGGGAGCTAACCCCGCTGTGGCTCTGCCTTTTAAATGTATTAAGAGCCACCAGGCGTGACCTCGGACAGCTGATTCCCAGTCCCTTGCTACACCTCTGCCTTCCCTGCCCTCTGTGAAGACGGTGCTAGGGGGAACCAGCTTTTAAGCCAGCTCCCCCCAGCACTGGCTCCTGCTCCCTCTCCTCCCCCATTTGCTGCCTCTCCCTGATAGAGGTAGCAAGGGGGGGGGGAGGGAGCAATTAGTCAAGTTCCTACTTGACTACCTGATAAGCATATGCATATCGGGTAGCTGACTAATCACTTACATCACACACACACACACACACACACACACACATGCAGTTTGTGCATCTGTCTTTCCATCTTCACCAGCAGACCTCCCAGCTCCCTGGCCCCAGACTCCTGGCTTGAGCCTTCCCTACGCCCCCTCACCTGAATCCTGCATCTCCCTTGAGCACAAGCTTCCTAGCCTTCTGCAGTGAGATCCACCCCCCACCTCCACCCCGGCCCTGAGCCTCTTTCCACATCTTCCAGGCTCCTGTCCTGAGCTCCTGCACCAAGCCTCCCCAAATGCAATCTCCAGCCGTGACTCCTGAACCACCCCCTCCACTACCTGCCCTGATCTCCCAACTCCTGCCCAGTGTCCTGCACTCCCCACATCACCAGCTCCTTGCCCTAAAAGACCCAAGCAATGCCAAGTAAGTTTGCTAGTTTTATCTCTCTATATATAAACTTATCCTGCAGGACAACAGAATGATGTCTTCATGTCACTCTGTGTGCATCTACACAGCAAAGTTATTTTGGAATAATGGCAGTTATTCTGAAATAATAATGCAAGCATCTAAACAGCAATTCCGCTATTTTGAAAAACATTTGAAATAATAGATTCTATGAGCAGTAACGCCTATTCCAAAATAGATATTTCAAAATAAGGCATGTGTAGACGCTCCACTGCCGCACTTTCAAAATAACCCTTTATCAGGGCCATTCTAAATTATTCTCCCTCAGGCTCTAAATCGAGATAGCATGTCCACATTAGGGAAACCTGCTTCAGATTAATTTTGAGGCTTCCCTGCAGTGTCGATGTGCTATTTTGAAATAATCTATTCCAGAATAACTATTCCAGAATAATTTATTCCGAAATAACATAGCCTCTGTGTTCCGCAGCCCCTGCCATACAAGAAGGCTAATGGCATACAGGCAGTCTCCGACTTACGCGGATCCGACTTATGTCGGATCCGCACTTACGAACAGGGCTTTCTCGCCCCGGAGGTCGAGGTGGTGGATTGCTACCTGCGAGCTCTGGGGCGAGAAAGCCCCATTCGTAAGCTGCTCCGGTGCCCCTGGTCTGCTGGAGACCGTCTCCAGCAGACCAGGGGCACCGGGCGGGTTCCTGCGCTTCTGAGGCTTTGCCAGAGCAAAGCCTCAGAAGCGCGGGAACCGCCGCTGCTGCCGCTTGAGACCGGGTGCCTGTGGTCTGCAAAGCCTCAGAAGCGCGGGAACCCGCCCCCGGCCCCCCAC